GTATTTATGGTGGTATTGCCAATATGCAGAATATACAGAAAGAGGTAAAGTTGTAGCACCAAAAGATATAGGCAAAAGAGAAAATGTCTGCATGGCATAGAAGAAGAGCTAAAGAAAAAAAGAATACACTTTTTACAGTAACATCAGATGCCCTAGGAAGAACAAAAGGGCTAAGAAAGTTATGAGAACTAAAAGCAGGGTAAACTTAACCAATTCCATGTGTACCGTAGGTCACCATCTGGACATCTGTATTAATCTGGTAACCTCACTTTTCTGTCTTCTTGGATGCTGCATCGCAGCACTACAAGAAGTTATTTTTGGAAATAAGGTGGGGGAGGGAAGAGAGTTAGGAAAGCTACAAGTTAACCAAGAAGAAAAACACATAAGAACATCAAGCAGAACACAGGAGCAAGAAATGCCTTTCCCCCTCTTCCTCTCCATGTTCAGCATTTATTAGTGCAAGATCTCTACTGGTATGAGTTTGTAAGCTTCATGAGCAGATCTCCATTCTGGAAGTGGCAAAAAGAGTATCAAAATTCCTCTTTCAGTGGTGTTTTACTAAGCAGGGTGGGCGGTATCAGCACTGATAAGCCTGTGGTGAGGAGCACACACTGCTAAGTTCATTCATACGACATCAGTGTAGAAGAGTACGTGAAAGTTTAAAATGAAAAGTGTGCATGTTCTTTAAGCTTCACACATTTCCTCTGGTGCCCTCACACTCAATGAGCAGAGCAAAATAGTACCTGACTTCTCACCACCACCACTACTACATCTCAAGTGAAATGCAAACAACTTGAATGAATCCAACATTTTCAGAGAAGCCAGAAAACCTGTGCATGCTATAGTATATACCTACTAAAATTCCCAGACGTTCTAACTCTGTAGGAGTGTACATGTCTTTAAGAAGTAATACAACATATGCGCATGCATTTACACTTACATCTGATTTTTAGCCGCTTGTCTCTGAGCTTTCCGTTCTTTCCTTTTTTGATCTGGTGGCTTAGCAAAAACAATTTCAATGTTTTCTCCCTCTAAATCTTTGCCATTCATTTCTTCCATTGCCTGAAGGAATTAACCAGACTTTGAATATATTTCTAAGCACATCTTAAGTTATTTAATTTAATCTATCTTTTAGAACATGCATTTTAAATTTTGTAATCCAGAGCTAAAATAACCATATAACGCTATTTTTTAAAAAACAATCAGACAGTATAGTATTGTGGGTTCCAGAGTAATGCATTTTCTCTTAACTTAGCTCTCAAAACCCAGGACTGCATGCATCACTTCAGAAATCTTCCACCCAAAACTGCAAACAGGCTTCAATCTTTGCAAACTGTTTCAATGAATGAAATGATGGAACTGTCCTCCAAAAGCACTGATTTTGCAATAAGGGAATGAATTTCTAATGTTAGCGAACAGGCAAAATTCTACTCAAGCTAGAGATCAGTATATATTTTTATTATTTTATTTTACTTATAAATAAACGCAACTTCAGAAATTAGAATTTAATAGTCTCATTCTGACCACAAAGAAAAACCAAAACAAACCAAACCCCCCCCAAAAAACCCAAATCAAAAACCCAACCACAAAAAATTCTACCCACCACCGCACATGTACAATTCTCACGGGTCACAGTAATTGCTATGAGTTAACTTCAAGCAGGGGAATCCTAAAGATTCTACCACTTTTAGGAACTCTGCAGAGCTGAGCCTTGACAGGATACATATCCTATGAAAAGACTTCATCATCTTCCCAAGCATCTGTTTTAAGGTATACAAATTTAAGAAAAGCTGCAGCCCGTGTTCTCCCACAGAACATAAAAACCAGATACACTACAGGCAGGAGAGGAATTACACTTTCCCTTCCTAACAACAGAAAAAAAACACTAAGACTAGGCTAGCAATGTCCAGGCATGACAATTACTCAATTGCCTGGCACCTCTCATCAAAAAGGTGCTTATTTCACACCATAAAAAAAGAAGTCATTCTGTTCCTGGAAAACAAAATTACCTAAGTTTTTATCACCCGTCCTAAAGAATCAGCTTCACATTCTACCAATAATTTGGTAACAAGAGTCACTCAACTTCTGGCACTTCAGTTTCACATGATAATACATATGATTATCTTACATACTCATCAGCAGAATTACTTAGGATAAGTGCATCTAAGATCCACTTTTGAAGCCAGCAACTGTGTCTTCTTAGGAGACGCCCAGAGAGGAGGACAAAGTTATCAGAAACAACATGTTATCACTGCAAAGTGATAGAGGTATAGAGCTTCTCAATGTTATATTTAGTCACTACTTAACACAGTCACAGTCCTCTTCACTTACCTTTACAGCACCATCCCGTTCATCAAAATGAATGAAAGCATAGTCTTTAAGCTTCTTCACTCTCTCTAGCTTTCCAAATTGACTGAAGGCCTTTTCTAGTATCTCCTCTGTTACAGTATTGGCAAGATTGCGTACAAACAAAACTTTTACCTAAAAAAAAAAGATAACAAAAAAGGACTTAAAAATATGATCTCATTCCAAAACACGAAATGAAGTTCTGGAAGTCACTGCTATGGGCAGCACTGAAGACAGTATGTTTTATGTTCAGATTTTTATATACATATACATGAATAGGTAAATTTATATATTCATACAGCATGAGTTAGCTCCAAAATTCCCTGACAGAAACATTAAATCTGTTTTCAAACACGATTAAGTACTGCTATCCTGAAAGTCAATCCTATTTGTATTAACATTGAAAAGAATCCTAGCAGCAGTAATTTTCAACTAAGAACACTTCCTAACTTGAAAGAAGGCAACCAGGATTGGTTACACACAAAATAATTAACTTCTCAAAACATTTCACTGTTTAGACAGGTCTTTTGCTCAGGTATTTGCCGAACAGTCATCGCTATGATATCTAGGTCAGAAGTGACAAGCCTGCAGATCTGAGGCTGCCTGTGTCTCCCATGGTATAGCTACACCAAATGCTTAGCATCAGGACTCTGCCTGCCTGAGTGATGGGAAGTCACAGCTGGAAGACAGAAGGGGATACTAAAGATGACACTGCCAGGTTACCCCTGGACTCTCTCACAAGTCAAACTGTGTCCTTCCCTTGAGGAACAGCCACCTCCAAGTAACCCTGAAAGTCTTTTCTCTCCCTCAGCTCCTGAAAGCAAGCAATATAGCTCTTAAGCTACAGACTGCTATACACCTTAAAAGATCAGAGAGGTTGGTTATATTTCAACTATTGATATATGCCCTATTAATTGCCTAAGAGTGACCAAATCATCAATACAAAGTTTTGTCAAACTGCTTATGATACAAGCAAAGACAGAGCAGTCTGACAAATGCTTAAACTAGACTCCTATTTAATACAGCAGGCAACATAGGCTGGGCACCAGGAATCACATGTAAGCGACCTGGAAGTATTTAAAGACTCATCCTTGTGTCCATGCTGAGGTTCAACCAAATGACTGTGTATTAACACGTTTACATGTCATCCATGAGTTCTCACAATTTAAAAGTCTCTACCTTGTTGGCAAAAGTCCCCTCCCTACCCTGCCACCATGCTCTGAGTCTAACCACCTCCTCCTGCCAAAGAACGCTCACAGTCTTACCTTCCTACAACACAACTGCACATCAGCTGCAAAGACCTGCCATTTCTGTTCATATCCCCTCTGCTACTAGTGGTTTCAAATTAGCCGATGAGAACAATTAACTGAATATCGTACATGTCAGCACTTATTTCTCACTCCTAACCCTGAAGGTCAACACAAATAACACAAGGTGTGAAGGGACCAAAAAAGCACACTTTGATTTTTGAAACAGAGCTATAATCTCTACTCCCACAACATACAGGAGCTCAACAAGCCCAGACCTCTCTTTTTATAAAAATTACTATGTATTTAAGTTACAAATACACAGGACAGACTTCCATAAATCTTGCTAGCTGAACTAGGATGGGCTGCAGAGTTTCAAAGAAAAGGTAATGCAGGCCACAAATCTCACCCAGCATATCAACTCTAGTCTTTGGCAATAGTTACTGCTGCTGATTCTCAGGAGGCAAATGTCATAGCTAGCTCCACAAGGAAAGAGAATTCCTATCCTGTGTTAAGCTCCTCCTACGTGCCTCGACAGCAAAAGTAACCTCTATTTCTTGCAACCCACATGTAATAACCATCTTTAGTAAACTGTCCAAATTGCTACCTTAACCTTCATGAAAATTAATTATAGGAAGTTTTGTGATGTAATCAATGGGTTTAAGACCTGTAACTTTCAAACAAATGTTCCTTATTCTTGTACTTTAGGAAAGGATGACAACTAGAATCTAATGAGGAACCTAAAGTAGCATTCACTAATAAATTCACAATGACTGACAGTGTCAGACACGACTAAAAACCTCAAAAACCATCACATTTTTGTTATAAGATGCCCTAACAGTTTTCAAAGAAATAAAAAACATCCCTAATTTATTTTTTGCAGTGTAGACAGATCCATTAATCTTTAACAGTTGATTTTTTAACACCTTTGGTCATGTTACAGGTTAAAAGCATAGCTGAACCAGTCAACAAGATGTCAAAGCTAGGAGGCAGGTTAAAGCAAAGACTGAGGGAATGGGAATCCATTTTTACTTCATTTAAGCTATCTAAAGAGGCAAGTAAAAAAATAAAATAAGGAAGTAGTCTTCATTAAGGCTCACAGATTTTAACACCAAGGATCCATAAATACATACCTAACAAGCAATATACCCAGCAGCATTTTGTAACAAAGGTAGAACTCGCTTTTAAAACAGCTTAAGATTAGACTACTCCCAAAATTTCTGGGATCTACTCCTTTTCCTCCTCTTACGTACAGCACGAACACTTCAGACTTCACTACCACATTGTCTAAGGGTTAGCCCTGTCTCATGTCCCCTAATCTACTAGTCAGTCACAAGTATACAACTTTATTTAGCTACTTAACCTGCCACTTCAGAACACCCTTTGTAGCCTCAGCTATGCCACATAAAGTAGCATAAAGTCAAGTAAAATGTTAAGAAATTTAGCTGCACTACAGGTTTGAGGTGTCAAAATAACACTTAGAAGAAACTAAACTATCCACATAGCTACTGGAAGTTGGGAAAAAATTCAGTTTGGTCCAGAAATCAATTACTTAACCAATAATACTTCAACATGTCAGTACAAGCACTAACATAGCCGATATGTCAAGCTTCAGAACCTAGCTTTCCACCTCATCATGCTCTAGGTACTTCATATTTAAGCTAACAGTCCACTTGAAAAATTTTAAGTATTCATCCATAAAGTATTTTTCATAACATTTTAGCAAAAGTCTGTAGGACAAAGGAAAAAAGGCTCAAGTAAACACTTCAGAAATTTAAAGTAGTAGGTGTCCATATATTGACAAAAGTTCATGCTGCTACTGCAAGGTATTAAGAACAACCGTATTCACCTTCGTGGCTACAAAGGTGAATTTGTCTTCCTCACAGGTTGCTCTTACCAACTTGTTTTTCTGGCAGTCTCGACAAGAGATCTGTCAATCACATGAATATTCTGATAAAAGCAACATACTACTCCTCCTCACAGTGTTTCCTCCAGAGCATTCTACCACAGAAATGTGTAAGACACGAAAGGTCAACAGCTCTCCTCTTGCTCCTGTCTGACAGTACTCAGAAGCAATGACAGACAACCTGCAGTTCACATCTGGGAGATGACTGACTGCAGCAGCTCAGCTGCTGTTTCTCTTAGGACAGACAGTAAACCTAACACTTCCAGAAGTGCCAAATGTGGTCAAATTCTCCAAATGTACAGTAAGCAGGCAAGAAAGACTGGAGTACAGACTTCCCTTGATGTGAGAATAAACTGAGAGATAGCAGCAGCCAGCGAGAAAGGTGAGACACTAATGTTTAGAAAAACTTCCACATTCAGCCACAAGCTACATGTTCTCTATTTTTTCAGTATTTCATTCACATAGTCTCACTTTTCCCTGTTTCTTCTTCAAATCAAGCTCCATGCCCAATCTTTGGCATACAGCACTAGATGCACAGAAGCTGATTTTCTGAATGTTTTCTTCCCTCTTCATGTTCCATTTAAAAAACAAACCAACACAAGACATTAACTCATTCAAAAAATTGTGTACTAAATGGGGCAAGCCACTACCAACCTCTAATTTCTTTAGCTTTTCTCTTCCCCCATCTGTAACTTACTTAGGCAAGACACCTGATCATGTCCCCTACCACTTTCTGCCCATCAATTCAATCACATCAGCAAAAGTTCCTGCTCATTTATTTTAAGTTTTCTGGATTAGGTCTCTTCTCTGTTGAGCCAAGAAGTTGAACATACACAGGCCATCATATTTAGGAAGTACCACCTTTGACAAATTTTACCTGCAACTCTTCCCCACTACTGATAAGTCTACGATGCTGGGCAAGAAAAATATAGAGTGTGCAGACAAGATAGTCCAAAAGCTTCTGTAATACCTGTATTACAAAAGCAGCTTTTTCCCTAAAATGAGCCCCCACCCCAACCCTTTTCCCTTGTGGCTCACCAAAGAGGAGATCCCAGTCAAGCTATCTTACTAGGTCCATCAAAGTAGGACTCCAGCAAGTGACGTGTCTCAGATGAGAGTAAAAGCACAGACAAAAAGCAAGCAAAGAGAAAGAGATAAGGATATGGGCTAGCTAAGAGTTTCCATTTAACAGCTCAGCTACACAACATAACTGAAAAAGACAGGGTTGGGTATTATCTGATGGGAAAAAAAAAATCAGGTAATTCATTTCTTGGCAAAGTATCACACGTATATATAAAAAAATCTGCTACAAGGTACTCTTAACAGTCCAGACTTCAGTTTCACCAAAATATTCAAAATCCAAAATACTACTAGTATTCACATTTTAAGAAATTAACTGCCTCCAAATTAAAAATAAAGATACAGTTCCAAATACAAAGTAATTGCCTAACTTCTCAGAAGTAACTCCTAAAGGCAACTTTTAAAATATGTTTGTGTACCTTAGTGACAAGTTCTAATGCTGAAGCGATAAACAAAGTTCCAACGTTGAAAGAATTAAAGCTTGTTCTCAGATCATATCTAGATTTCCATCCCTTCAAAAATTAAGCTACAAAACCTTCTTAACTTTTGGAGTCACCACAAGAAATTAAGCATGTCAGGTCTATGCATCATTTTGGCAAGAATTATCTTCAACATGCAGCCTTGGGAGCATAAAATAACATCAGTCAACAGAGGTTTTAAACTCACAACAACTCTAGGGTGTATTCATATTTTATCATCTCACCTACAACATCTCTGTCAAGAAAGCTGAAAGATGCTATTTAAACTTAGGCTAAATGTCAGGAAGTACTTACTTTGGAACAAGGCACTTTAAATGTATTGTGGTTGCCTTACAGCTTTATTACCTTTGCCATGACTTCAGGATCTGGGTCTTCTATAGGGTCAGCCCATTCAACTGTAACAACATTTCCCCAGACTTTCACTTTGCCACTCATTAACCTACGTCTGGCCTGGGCAGCAGTTTTGTGATCTTCATACTCAAGGAAACAGAAACCTCGGTTCTTCTTCTTGTCATCAGGCTGATGATACAATATGACATCTGTAAGACCCTCTGAAATAAGCAAAATATTTATTTGTTATGGCTTCAATCCATTAATTCCTATTATGAATCTTCCTGTATGGGTCTGCCAAGTGGTTCCAATAAAGCATGAATACAACAGATTTATTTTTAAGACCTCATCCGTAATAAAATTTCCCTACCTTCGAGACCAAGATTTTCAAAGAGAGACATTAGACAATATTGACTTAGGTTCCACTTTTATTAAGTGAAGAAAGCCTAGGAGCTACAGAAGAGTACTTTTCCTTTAACTGAATTAAGAGATACGGGCAGCCAAAAGTTGTGCTTTGTCAGTTTTCCTCTTAAACACCTAAGTCACGCCACTTATCAGCATGTGTTTTTTCCATGGATGTCTAAACAACAAGAAATCAAACTTCCAAGATTTTAAGGCATGTAACTGTTGCTTCAAGGAACCCAAACTGTACCACCAACAGCAGAAAGCCATCAAATATTACCTTTGCCAGTTTATATGCTGTTATCAAAAAGATCTTCATCATATCGCTAAGAATTCTGAAGCACAGAACTAGTTAGGTTCACCTGCTTCAGTTTTGCCTTGAAAAGTTTTAAAACTTCCATTAGTACTGAAATAAAGAAAACATCTATTTCTTTGAATGGCTTTTTTGAACATGACACGTTTTCTAGGTAACAGTTGGAAACACATTTAGTATAGTTACAAATATTTCAGCCCTCAGCACAACAGTTTAAAAAACAAACAAACAAACAAACAAACAAAACAAAGTCAGGACAACTGCTGAATAGTCTTCATCTGGATTCATCATCATTCAACCATAAGCCAAAAGATGGTGAAGATAGTTCATCACTGATCATGCACCCCTAGAAAATGTGGTTATTGACTTACCTGTTACTTTGCTAAATTCTTCAACAATTTGTTCCTTGGTTTTGCTCTTAGGAATAGAACCAACAAAAAGCCTATTATTGGCAACAGAGATGCATACACCAATGTGTTTTCCAGAACGAATTTCATGGTTGTTGTACTGAAAGAAAATTAATTGGACAATCAGTTACAGGTAATTTTCACTCCACTCCAATACCAACATACCAAACATTTTTAATTCTTCAAACACAGCATTGAGGAATATATTAAATTCCTTGGAGCTTAACACATTCTTATGATGCATATTCAGTTGTTCTGAAGTATACCCATGTTCTCTACGATAACTTCACAATTTCAAACTAAATTATTCTTCCCTTCTTGGTCAAGCCTCTTCCTTAAAACATGTTTCTTTAGAGACTTTTTCATGTAGAAAAAGGCAAATCTTTTACATCAAAGTCCTCAAGATCAAGGCCTCTCCCTTCACAACAGTGCAGGAAAAAAATACAAGTTTCTCTACAGATTGATCTATGAATTCTTGGTTTGTGTATAATACAAAACAGGAGTTACAATTAAAGCCAGATTCCCTTCTAAAGTTCCACAGTTAACAAAAGAAAGAGAGCTGTGATCAAGTCCTCCACAAAATGTGCATGAGGAACTGCCCAATACTTTGCAAAGCACATAGATTACACATGTAAAGATAGTAAACAGCAAGAACAACCTTCTACTGACTTGAAATCCTAAGACTTCTGTTGAAATGCTTCTCCCATAACAGACTGTTTAGAAGACACCCTGAACAAGTCAGCAGTTTAAGAAAAAAAAAAAAAAAAAAGTATTACTGTAGACATCTGTTGACAAAAAATGCCTTTCATTGAGATGCAGACACAGACATGCATCATCCAAATAAGCAGCAGGGAGGTCAAGTGGTGGTACATCAACCCTTTCCAACTGGGAGCCCTGCAACAGACAGTTCTTTAGCTAGGAAAACGTATTTTGTGGTCAACTTCTTATTGACAAGTAGCAGGACAGCTTTTCAAAATTTAATCTAGCTATTTATTCTGTGAGCTATTTTGCGTACAGTGGTAAACCTTCCTGCATAAGCAAGTTCTCCCACACCACTTCTTGCTTTGTGCACTAAAACTTATCTTCAGCAAATGAAAATTACATCACTGAAAATTTTCAAAGCTAGACAATGCACCAAAAGCAAACTGAAAAGAGAACTGTATGCGTGAAAGGATCTGGAATGACATCTTCCCAACTAATAATGTCTCAAAGCATAGCAGGATACAGTAATCTCCATATATGTTGCCCATGTGGCAGAGGATAGTTCATTTTGACGTAGGGAACTGCACAGCAAAACTGTATATATATTTATATATTTTATCATCAATAAACAGACTTTACACATTAATAAAGAGACATTACAGTAGCTCAAAAAAATTCTTTATAAAGAAATGACTTCAAAGAAGCTGACAGTTATCAGTATGGAAACAAGACACAAATCGATTCTTCATTTACTGAAGTGTACATTTGGAAATATTTTTTTTAATGACAGGGTGGTCAAACACTGGACCAGGCTTGCTAGAGAAGTGGTCAATGTCACAACCCTGTCAGTCTTTAAAAGATACATTTGGACAATGCCCTTAATAACGACACTAACTTTTGGTCAGTCCTGAAGTGGTCAGGCAGCTGGACAAGATGATCATTGTAGGTCCTTCCAACTGAAATATTCTATTCTATACGGATAACAGAAAATACTATGCAATTGTTCCTATTAAAGTCTAAGACAAAAGTCTGGCTACACATTTACTCTGAAAAGAGCCTCTCATATAACTCATAGCAATGAAATAATACTTCATAACTAAAAAAAAAAAAATCTACCACGTTGCAATTCGACGCTGACAGTAGTATTTAGTAGTTTTTTCATACTACAATATTTATTTACTGTACGTTTCTCCTTAGCACAGAAAAAACAGTCTTGAATTAGGTGCTCTTGGAATATAGTGTTGGGGTCTTTTAGGTAAATAGTTTGCATACTATCTGTAAACTTAGATGAGACATCAACAGCCCCAAATCATGATCTGGGTAAAGTGCCAAAACAGTCAGGCTACCAAACCAGCTATATCAGCATACTGCTTCCCCCTCCTGTCACCACTGAATCAATGCCCAAAGTTAGTAACAGAGATATTACTACCCTCTAAACACTATGGTAATTTTCTTTTGCTAAGTTCTATAAGAACCTACTCACAAACAGGTTAAAGTATGCATAAAATCTGTCTTGTCACTTTACCCACTTAAGCTTTCACCAATAACTTTAGCTTATTTCCAGCAGCAAATTGCAAGTCATACTACTATGCACAGCTGGCACACTGCTAAAGAGGCATATTTGCATAACTCACCTGTACCTGCACTTTGATCAAGCTTACACTTGCTCTAGTCAAAAATACACTGTATGCAACTATAGTTTTCAGTATGTTTTCCTACAAGCTTCACTTATGAAGTATTATCCTGTGTATGTCTACAGTAACCTTAAACACTCAAAAATCTTATGAAAAAATGAAATCTAACAACTTCACATGAAACAGGAGAATTGAATATGTGTGCAAGAGAACACAACTGGAGTTATAATTCTCAACTCAAACAGCATGAACAGAAGGTAAACAAAAATATGTTAACAGAAAAAAATATGTCTTAGGTGAAAAATAAAATCAGACTTCTGACAGTGCCTGTGTGAACATCTGAGATGCCATTTCTACTTAATCAGCAAGGGTTAACCACACTTGATTAAGTACTGAACATAAAATTAACTACTGTTCATATCTCTGTGTCTTCTCAGTATGAGGCCATAGCACTATTCCACTTTTGTCTCAAGCATAATCCCAAAAGTATTTCAAACACAATTTAGGGAACCTCTCCCTTTTTAAGTGGTCTTAATAGAGCATATGCATAAACAAAAATCAAGGCTTCAAACCTCTGAATTGCAAGATTTGTTCTAGTTAATGAATAGGATAAGTTAACAGCAAGTTTATTCAAAAAATTTAGGTTGTTATAAAGACTGTGGATGATACAATGACCACGCAAATATGAACTGCATCCAAAATATGTTACACCACTGCAAGAGCCTGAAGACAGGTCAGTTTATTCTCTGCTCCAGTTTGAGTATTGACAAAACCTCATAGCTGCCTTTTATTTCCGAATATATATATTCAGAAGCCTACAGGCAATGCAGAAATTTTATTCTCTTTTTTACTACACTTCAGAGTCTTAAATGTAAAAAAAAAAAAAAATTAAAAATGCCTCTGGGTAGAAGATGGGAAATAACAGAATCACCCTGGGAGTCCAGAAAGCTGCAAAGTAAGTTGTATACACATCAGAAGATTACAGTAGTATCGAAAAGAACACTACCTGTTAAAATACTAGTATATTCTAATGGGTAGGGCCAAGGGTTTAGCTTTTCTAAGAAGTCTGTCAGCAGCCTCTCCCATGCATGTGTAGCTAATACAAGTAACAGACCTACAATTTTCATAGAATCATAGAATGGCCTAGGCTGGAAGGGACCTTAGAGATCATTTTAATCCAGCCTCCCTGTTGCCACCTCCTGACTAGTTCTACAGCCATACTTGTCTAGGAGGGATGTGCAGGGTACTAGTAAACTTGGGAAACTTGTAATATGCCAAACTGGCCAGTCAGCTATGGCTGGAACCATTCCAAAGCTGATAAATGCCACAGGACCCAATTTAAAACTAAACCTGCTCTCAGAGCTTAGCATGAAGGCTGAAAAACTGTCCCATCAATTACAAAACTTTTCAACTATTGTACTCAGTGACTGTTTAACTGAAAAACGTAACACAGACCAAAGCTCAGCTACAAAGGGACACCAAGCACCTCCTTCCCTTGTATCATTTCGTGGAAGACAGACGAGGATCTGACATTACTTTTATGGAAACACAAGCTAAGTGACTTTTTAGAGCACGCTGCCTTTAAACAAAATGCAGCTAAGTGAAGAAAAATTCCTTTTTGTTTGCTCACTAGATGCCTCTGAGAACATATTCTATTTGATTCACTGTTTTGTTAAGTCATGTGCATAACTCTTTAAGAGTTCACATATAATAAAAACAGCTAGGTTGACACTGAAAGTACAGAGAGGTATATGCAGTTATCCTCAGTATGTTTGGATTGCGCACAGAATGAGTAACAGTTGTTATTTAAAAACTAAACAGCGTATACCAGATACTTTTGTACTTCCACTTCCGTGGACATTGCTAGGTTTTTTCAAAACACATTCTCATATTCAGCTTGATTTGTCTTCACCAACTGACATACTACTCTTATGTCAGTACTGTGTTTAAGACGTGGTCTAAGATGTACCTTATTACAACACAAGAGATTTTAACCTTACTGTATCAATACAGTTATCAGTGTATCTCAGAATGAGTACAGGTAGTGCTCAAAGATCATACCACACACTGATCTTAGGCATATCAATGTAGTAGTAACTAGCTCAAAATATTCATATTCAACCTATTTAGGAAAACAAAGAAGCAGAAGGAGGATCAGTGTGGTATCAGTGATGGATATTTCATGCACAAAACTTAGAAAACTTATTAAGAGCAGCCTATTCTTTACATCAAACTATTTCACACCTCACTGTAAAGCAGAGGAAATGTTCTTCAAGTGGGCAGGATTTATGGGTTTTTCTAGTCAGTTGCAGCAAACAGAACAGAGCCTAACACCCAGGAGTGACCTCTTTCCTACCGGAAGTATCTCACACCAATTCCGTGACTTCAGCAGCATCACCGTCCTGCGCGACTCCCCCTGCCGGCGCACAAGCACCGCGGGAATCCCGGACAACGAGACCGAGGCTTCCCCCTCGGACCCCGCTGCCACCCTGACACTGCCGCTCCCCAGAACTCACCCAGAGGCACAGAGCTCCCAAGTCACTACTGCTAACACAGCTCTTGCTAATAACAAAGGTTCGTTCAACTGGACCGAACAGCAGTCCATCGGCTTCTGCCACACACATGGCCCCCGCAGCCGCCAAACACAGCCAGTAAAAATGTAGAGGCAACATGGAAATATTTACGAAGTGATCGAATAGTTTCATCTTAAGCATTTAAGCATTTGGATCAGGGCAACTGCTTACAAGCTAGAGTGTTCATAACAAATAAATTAAAATCCAAGTACTTACCAGTTTAACAGCTTCTTGAGCTGCCTCTTTAGTACAAAAAGTGACAAAAGCATATCCTCTATTTAGACCAGTTAGTGGGTCCATCATTAAGCGGAGATCCCATATAGGGCCAGCTTTCTCAAATAATGGAACAAGTTCATCTTCAAACAAGTCTCTTGGAATCTTGCCCACAAATATCTACAATAAACACAGAAAATGCCGTTCATTAAAAACAAAAATACTTCCAATGAATAAGAATACATCTACATAAACATTTCATTCTTCTTACCTCTGTACCAACAGAAGGTTGCTGTCCTGAATATACAGACTCTGGAGGAGGTCCACCATACTTCCTCTGTCCAGTAGTCACATCGAGTGTGTAGCCGGTTCTCTCTAAGAGTGCCTTCAAGTAAGAAACTTAAAATTTTAAAATCACATACAAATTGAGCTAGTTTAGATGCATTTCATTTACCAACAGACATGCTTAAAATTTCTCTTAATCTGTACAGCTTTGAAGCTCCAACAGCAAACAAGCCTACTGCTACTACTTCAACCAGAAACTTGCAAAACAATTATTAGAACTATTAGGTAAAGAAACACTGCTAAAAAAAAAGACACAGAGAGTCTTCCCAATTCCTTCATTTTCATATCAAAAAAAAAAAGAAGCCCAAGCAATAGAATAGTGAGCTTCCCTTTAATTAGGAAGATCTTAGTCTGAGCCACTTCTTGTTTTGGCATGTTCAATCCTGCAAACATTTATGCACAGGAGTTCCCTTTGCTTAGTGAGATTACTCATAAGTGTGAACTTAAAGAACACGTGTTTAAGTGCTTACACTCCTGGAACACTGTACAGGCTGCTTTAGGTATCCAGCCACTGAAGTGATAGCACTGCTTCCTCCTCACCACCTCAAACTCCTTGTGGGCTCACAGAGCATCCCCCAGCACAACTGATGCTCGCTAGAATCACTGCATACACTTACAGATAATAACACCAATTTAAAATTATAAACGAGACTCAGTACGCAAATAGATCACGAGAAACTCCTTTTAAATTAGTCTTCCTTAATTTTGTACAAGACAAATCAACTCTACACACAAAGAAACAGCATATTAAGTAAGCCTAATTATAATGAAGAGTTAGTAACTTCAGAAGTGGAAAACTGCGAAGTTATTTTAAATGCCATCAGCAGTACAAGTTATGCTACTTTAAGTTCAAGGCATCACATTGCTGTTTTATGTGGTAGTGACAAAACTGTATCATTCTTTTTGAGCTTAAAATTAACAGCATCCCAGCCTCCGAGTCAGGAGGAAAAAAGATTTTCTAGTTTCACCAGCCACGCAGTTATCTGCAATACGTAACGTTCATTTTTGCAATTTACACATGAGAACTTAAATATGAAAGATTTTCTTACTTTTTAAGACGTCAACTAAGCATGCTTAAATGATTTTCCCTTCCTTAAGCTTGGGTAAAATTGTTAATCACAGAATTTTAAAATAAATCATAGTTTGCCTAACTCTTGAGACAGGAGTCTCTTGTCAGCAGAAGACTTGGTCCAGGAACTAACAGGCCCACTACTAAGACAGTTTGGGGTACAGTTTATGAGAACAGTGATTATGTCATAAGAAGTGGGCTAAATCTCTAAATCCATTACAATCTGTTATTTCAGACAGATGTGGTATCTCCTCCCTACTGCTGAGCTGCTTTAAACCTGAAGACAAAAACAAACAAACAAACCCCCCCCCCAGACAACAAAAACAAAACACAAAAGAAAAGAAACAAGTAACAGCCACCAGTAGCTGAAGTCATGCATTCTGAACTGAAAGATCTACGCTGAAAAGTATTTGGAAACTTTTAACTTTGAAACAGCCTAGCTGTCTCAGCCAGACATAAACTGTCAAATCTTTTTCACTTCTATATGCGTGAAGTTCCAGTAATTAACAGTATATTAACTTTCCTCTTAAAGAGGAAAAAGTGTAAAATAAAAATGCAAGTAACAATTTCACTAATGACAAGTAATATAAAATTTTTTAAAGAAAAGCGCAGTTTGAAAAAAATCAAGGTATCTGCCACAATAGCTTTGAAATAGACAGACAGACCATGTAAATTTTATCCTTTGGGCACATACCTTAATTTTTGCCTCATCTGGTCCTTTGCTAGAATCTGCCACCTTGGTCCCCTGTTTTTCCCTCTGCCTGTATGTCTTCATGACTCCACATAAAAAGGCACTTTTGTTCTGCAAAAGATATATTCATTTTCAGCTCTGAAAACATGAAAAACCAAAACCTAATTTTACCTTGAACTAATATAGTGCTCATTTTACACATCACATATGGATCACTGAAAAGACTTAAGTAAACCTTCTGCCATTCAACTAGCACTTTATCCCTCAAAAATTATCTTCTAAATTGCTTAACATTACCTGAACATGTGAGAGATCACTGTCTTTAAACTGCTGAAGCACTGCCAATGCACCTTCTTCATTAAATTCCTTTAAAGCTTCAATAGCTCTTTCATCTAGATCACTATGTGCAACTAGTCCTAGAAAAAAAGGAAAAATAAGTATATTACTAAATACATTTGGGTAGCAATATTTGTTTAAGCACATTTAACACATCTAACAAATTTCAGCAACCTTGATTAATGTAAGTTACTGTAATCACTTAGTCCTCTTAAAGGTAAATATTAAACCTTTTTTTAAATCAAAAAGTGTCAAAAAAAGTTAAGATTCAGAGTAACAGCTACTGCGCTTAAGTATTCGTTTGACTTACGTGAAACTCAGTTGTTGCACGGGCCAAATCTATTTTCAATATCCTGAAGGTGAATTCAGAAGGATCTATCAAAACCTGACTTGGTTTGCCTAAGCAATGGTACCTTGGTACATTTTGAAATGACTAAAAAGACAAATAAACTGCAGGACTAAAAGTGACCACCACAATCCAAAAATCAAGCTTAAAAAATGCTAGCTACTACCATGTCTGAGAGAATCAATAAAATAACCTTTTCATCCATGAACCCAAGTGCTATGTCCCTAAGTATCATTTACAAGAAGATGAATATCAAGGCTTCTTAAAACCAAGTTACTTAAGACTACAGTAAAAAATGCAAAGAGACCACATCACCTACTCCTAAAAATCATCTGTTGCCTATTCCAGCTGTTGCTACAGTCACCTGCATACTTCTCCTTCCCATTCCCTCTGCCCAAGAGTCCTGGCCCAAAACTTTTATCTGAAAAATGTTACGACAAATTAAAGCCCTGAAGGGAAAACATCCACAGATTTTGGTAGGACTGCAGTTCCCATACTTTTGGAAACCACAAAAAGTTGCTATTTTAGCCCAAAGACAGCAGAATCCAATAAAATATTGTAAGTGTGGTTTTGCAAGTTTTACATCTTACCTGCAACGTAAATTTCATCTAGTTTTTCAGCAACTTTCTGTGGTAAACCAGCATCAAGCAATGTCTGGAAATGCTCAGAATGGGTAACTGCAGCAGAAGTATCCATGGGCTCTTCAGTACCATTTCCATTAACATGTTCAGTAGCCATGTTTCCAGATATCTGTTCAAATGCAATAAGCATCATAATTAAGCTCAAAAGATCTTCAAGTAGAACAATTCAAGTGACAATACATGCAACAGACTGCTCTAATCTTGCAAAAGGAAAAAAAAAAATCGTAGACCACTTTCCTGATACTTTCTGGCTTTAGAAGACGCACAAAATTCCTCAAAAGAAGCACTAACACAAAGGAAAGCCCTAACACCACTGGCTAGCGGGGGTGGGGTAGCTTTCACTGCAGGTTTTACACAATCCAGCCAGACACTGACTCACCTCCCTCTCTCTGTCTCTCTAACACACTCCCTAAGAGGCTCTGAACAAGTTAGAAATGGAG